CTGTCCCACTTTGACTTGCACTAGACTAACAGCATCCAGGAGGACCTGAGCATCAGCGTGACCCTGAGGCAGAGAACCAGGGCCCGGCTGCGACAGCCACCAGCCGCCCCAGCTAAACCAGCCCCCGCATTCGTACCGGAGTCCACTGATATGGAGGCGGCCGCCCAGCGGCTCGACAGTGACCCTGAAGCGGATGGCAGAGACCTGATGACGCCGGCGGGTAGGGTACAAGGTTAGCAGACCCACAATCTATCTATTCATTTTTACCTATTTGTGTCAGTCATACTTTTTAGCTAATCATTCAAGTTTTTTTAATGAAATATAATTTATATAGTTAGAGGGTCAGTGTTCAAGGTTCAGGGGGCTTTAGTGGTATCTAGTAGTGAGGACTGTAGGATTGAAACCAGCTGAAACTTCTGCAGGTAAGAATTTTTGCAGTATTCATTGTTCAGGAGGATTGTACTGGAAACCAAATTATCTGCAGAGGTCTCTTCCTGCCCAAAACAAAAATACTTGGTAATGAAATCTGGTAAAATATAATGAACAAAGCAGTTTCACATGTAACTGGCTCACTCTTTTTCCCCCTTTATCAGTGGTGGCCTTGTGGGTGACCTGTTAGTGTGTGATATGTGCTTTGTAATATGTGGAGAGAAGTAGTGTCGACTTGAAGACCGTATGCAGCAAAGAGTGATGACAGTCAGCAGAATTAAGTGTCTAGATAAGCTCAGGGCTACATCATAACATTATTAGAAAGCCATATTTATTGTATTATGGTGAAGACTGCAACATGCCTGTGGATATTCTCATTCATCCAGGTCATAGTTATCTCAAGGCAATTGAATCAAACGCAACTGGACTTCTAAGACAAAACCAAGTCCAGTTGCGTTCGATTCAGTTGCCTTGAGGTGAAGACCGTAATAAAGCCATTGTTGGTGAACGGCACCGAAATGCCTTGCTATCCTAACTAGAAACTAGTTACCAACTAATAATGAGCCAAGCTAAATTAATGCAAATAAGCCAGTGTGTTCCCAACTACAGTTCAGAGCCGGTAAGCTGTCACAGAGAGAAGTTACGCACCTTACAAATTGATGCTTCTTCTCCTCCATCTTCATGTGTGCTCACTGTTTTTCTGATCCAGAAGTTAAGGACGTTTTTAACGGGAACCAAATTATCTGCAGAGGTCTCCTCCTCCCCAAAACAAATGGAACTGATGATTTAAACAGGTAAAAACACTGTATAAAGCAGTCTCACATTACAAATCAATGTTTCTCCAATGCTGTTTGGCATGTCGGAGACAGGCACTTAATCCAGCACCTGCTAATGTGTGCTCAACTTTGTTCTCTGATACCTTAAGATCCAGATGTTAGGGAGGCTTTTATCAAGAGCTGAATTATCTGCAGAGGTCTCTCCAAAACAAATGGACTTGATGATTTAAAACAGTAAAAACACTGGATAAAGTTTCTTGTTTAAATTTTTTCTTTCTGACACTGTTCTCCTTGGATGGAGTTTTCACTATGATGGCCAATGCAGAATTGCTTAAACATGAATGGCCCTATCTAGAAGCAGTGATTGGTTTGTCAGTTCTGGGCTACTGTAGAAACGTGTAGGTGCAACACAGCAAGCTCCATGGAGAAGGACCTACTCCCTGTGTAGATATAAATGTCTCGTGTATAATGTCTCATTCTGAGGTGATAAACACAAAATGATTCTTATTTTCAGCTGATAACACACTAAAGCAAACATACTTATTATATACTAATTATATTTATTTATGCCAATATATCCCTTAAATCTTACACACTGTTTCTTTAAACTATCTGCCCCTTTAGATAAGGTCTGCCTGTCTGTTAATATCCTGCTGAGGCCTTAACAGATGAGTAAATCCATGGACGAGAAGAATGCAGGTTGTCAATTTCTCTCATATTGTTCATATTGTCTCTGTACGTGTGATTGATGGAGGAATCTGGGTTATTGAACTGTATTGGTGGAGGTGGGTTGCAGGGCAGGAAGCGTTATCGAATGCTGTTGAGCTGCACATTGTAGGCCAATGCATTGATATTGCTGCCGCTGGCCCAAGAAAGTATTGTTGAAATTGTGGGGTAAATCCTGTATGATAGAAGATATCTACAGGTGTGGATACTGTGCTTTAGGCAGCCATCATTGGCTGTAAGTGTAAATCCTGTATAAGCCACAGGTGTTCTTAACAGATAGAAGCCTCCCATGGTTGACTGCAGGATTGCGCATGGGTGGCGATGCAGAGGGAGGCCTCCAAGGCAGGGCTCGACAGTGCGAGCGTTTCACTCGCATTTGCGACTAAAAATAGGTGTGTGCGAACTGTAAAAAATATTTAGGGGCACATGTGCGCATGAAATAATCAGCCGAAGCAGCCTATATTTTTGTCAAGAAAAAAAATATGATAATCTAACCGCAAATGTTGGAGGAACTCCAGCCGCCTTCCCTCTTCCCTCTTTCCCGTGTGACACGATTATGGGCAGTTTTCCAAGCCACTGTCAGCACAGTGAATATAAGTCCCACTGTCGGCAGCGTGGAATTAGCCTAAGTCAAAGTGTGGAGGAGATGGACCGGGTGGATCTCCGGGGAAGCCTGCTCCGTTCTCCCCGTAGTTCAAATAATTTCAACTCTGAGCGCAGCGCTCGGGCGGAAAATCAGAGCGGTGCGCAACGCCAAGGGTAGCGGTGCCGCTTTGTCAGACGTTGCTGCCCTCTCCATAGACAAACAATGGGACAGCCAGCGCAAAGCGGTTTTACAGCTGATCATGTGTAGAGGCCTTTAGGGACCGTTCGCCACGGTACCGCTGCTGGGCAGGGTGGAAATAAAGCCCTTTTCACACGGACTGCGCAAAGCGCAGACCTCCGCCAACGAACCCATTCATTGTGTATGTGCTACTGTGGCGCAAGAGCGCACCGCTCTGCCGCCGAGCTGAGCGGCGCGCGAGGGGGGCGCATGTCGCGGCATCTGCGCGCCGCCAGCCTGCGCTCGAATTGAAATTTTTTTAATTTCACCGCAACGCGCTGTGACGACACCTCAGCGCCGCGCGTCCAATAGCAGAGAAGAGCCTGAAGTAGACCCGGAAGCGGTCACCATGGAACTGTAGCTCCTGAACGAGCCTGTACTCCCCCAAATCCTGTCCTCTGCGCCCTACCCCGTGGTGGGCTCCGCGAAAGCTCTGTGTGAAAGAGGCTTAAATCCTGCAGAGTTTCAGAGGACCTGGAGAATGTTTTAGGATAGTAATAACATTATATAAGATAATCATATTACAAAGATAATATATATAAGATAATAACATTAAAGACAAAATTAAATTGCAATACTTTTTCAAAACTTGATGATTTTACCTTTCTGTACATTTTGTATACAAACTCATTAAATAATTTTGCTTGTAAATGTCTATTTGCATCACGTTTATTACGGAAAACACATTATTTGATCAATTTACATTGTGCCCCTAAAGTTCTTTGTGCGCTCCTTACTTTTTCAACTTAGGAGCACATGTGCTCCTTGGGAAAAAAGTTAGCGTCAAGCCCTGCTCCAAGGTTTGGTGGATATTGGGTGTCAGTTGACGTTGTGCATCCATGCACATCTGCTTTCACAGAGGTTTTGATCAGGCCCATGTTCTTTTAATCAGAGGTCAGGGGTCACAGAAGAGGCTGCTGGGCTCAGGATCTCTGGTTTTAAAGTACCAGAGTTTAGGGAATACAGGTTTTATGAAAAGCACTGGCAATTTAAAAAATGCAAGTAGCAAGCATACTCATTGTATTTTGTCTTGATCAAAAGTAAAACACTTACATGAGAGTTTTAGGTAGTTTATATGGCCTGTGGTTATCGTCTCTCCCTACTGGGAGTGGGACATGGGAGTGTTTCTCAATGTGGCATGGAAATGTCAGTCACACAGGCCTTATGAGACATTTCCAAACATGAGAAAATTTTCTGATTATATAACCACTGAGTGGGTTGTCTGTGGTTGGTAAATGCATTCACTGTGATACCACAACTGCTGCTAGTACGTTGGTAACAGCTGTCAGATAAGACACAATTAACTAACTAATGACCTCACTCCAATCACTCACTAAATGATTGTATTATCTTAGATGGAATCAACCTAATAATTGATTTCATTCCCAGACTTTTTACTTGGTAGTGAACCAGCAACAGACATGCACAACTTGGGAGTTTTTTGATATTTTATGTATAGACTGCAGAAACAGAAAGATTGTGGTTCATCCAACACATTTGATAATCATCATTTTAAAAGAAAACTATTCATAATTTCACCCCAGTTTTTTAATAAAGCCTATCATTACCCATCTCGTTTATTCATGGAGGTGGTGGCCTGTAGGGCGCTCATGCTGCAGTCATATGAAAAGGATTATAGAGGAATAGACCTCCACATGCAGTGATCGGGTTTCCAGTGGGGCGAATTAATCATAACAGCATTGCCATTATAGGGTGAAAATCCAGTGTTTGTGTTACAGTATGTGTCATGAGATTAAATAAGTATAAGGTTTGCTTTGACTGCTTCAAGGAAAGAGTTAATTAAAATGGGCTCCAATCTAGAATACAATCTGATGATAGTGTCTGGGAATATGATTACCTTTTTTGTGTCTGTTTATAGTCAGCTTTTCACTGGGATGCTGAAGAAACAGAAGTGTTCAAAAGTACCGTTAATCTTAATGCGAAAGAAAGTAAGAGTGTGTTGCTTTTGGTCGGGACAGGTGCAGGGTTACATAAGATCTGCTGGCTCCACAGATGAACTTTGAATGTTCCTCATTAGCTCTGAACAATTAGTTTTTGACCAACTTTTGGCCTCCTCTCCTCTCCTCTCCTCTGCCATTTACTTTACAAAATTATTGTGAGCACGGTTCTTCGTTCAAACCCAGGGTGGGGGAACCCTTCTGTGCAGAGTTCGCATGTTCTCCCCATGTCAGCATGGGATTTCTCTGGGTACTCCTTCCCACAGTCAAAAGACATGCAGGTTAACTGGTGACTCTAAATTGGCCATAGGTGTGACTGGTTGAACCTTGGACCTGTCCAGGGTGTACCCTGAATCTTGCCCAATGTCAGCTGGGAAAAGCTCCAGTCCCCGTGAGACTCCCAACAGGATGAGCGGTTACTGAAAATGAATGAAAGAATGTTAAAATATTAGTAGTTGTTAGTACTTTATATTAACAGTGTTTGTAGAGCTTAAAGCAAGTTAGATTTAAGACCTTCTTAAAATTTAAAACCAATTTTACAATCACTAAAACTGAAGAAAAAAAAGCCTGAGCTGACATCATTTACTTGGGATAAAGGACAACTTGTCATGGGGGGAGATGAGGTCAGAACAGAACTGGGAGATAACTGACGAAATAACTGATGTTTGTTGGCAGGTTCTCTTGGTGATTTTGTGTTTCTTGCTCTGCATGTGAGATTCATGAAATTCTTCCTCCTAGCATTTTTAAGACTTTTGAAATACCATTAAGATGATTTAATACCAACTGAGGCATTAATTTTGGATAAATGCATTCAATGCCTTTTAAGGCTTTTAAAAATCCATTGGAACCCTGTATTAGTATTGAGAAACAAAATACTTCACAACGGCTATCGTTAAACTTTTATTGACTGGAGTTGGAAAAACAGTTTAATGGTGGGTGAGAGAGAAAATGAAATAGTGAATGAGGGCAGAGAGGGAGAGAATGGACCATGTGCAGTGCGTGATTAGCAACAAGCTATGTGGCTGCCCTGTGTCGGCTGTGTATTGTGGAAACCCAAACCCCACAGGAGAATACCCTCAGCCATGAAGGTTAATGAGCTCAGTAAACATGGAAATCTTCCAGAACATTGTGAGCCTGGGAGGGTTTTCAGCTATTTTCCATGCCTGGGTGTGAAGAAAGCACTCAAATTTCAAGCCTGATTTTGTAGATCAGCACACAAATGCTCCCCCATATTTTCTCAAAATATCCTTTTCAAACAGGTTCAGGTTAGCTTGATACAGACGGGTTGTAAGTGTAACAAATTCAGTCCTGTCAAAATATAGAAATCATTTCCTATATACTTTTCCACTAGATATACATTAACACATTCCTGTGTTATGTTAGTGTGCTTTAATCCTGCCTTGGCCTAACTCTGACCCACAAGGTGAAGAGTAAGGTGTGAAAACACAGAGGATTAAATATGACCGAATGTTTGTTTCATTTACCAGCCTCAAAATAATCTGAAAGATTGTGTTTGGTCAATGTTGGATTTTAGATGATCCCAGTGTATAAAAATCACTCCCTGGATGAGGACGAATCGCTCCCCGAAATGGGTGCTTTGTCTATTTTTGCAGATTTTAATTGTTTTCACATTCTGTCAGAAAGAGGACGTGTTTAACTCGATCAAAGATATGCTGGTGAAGTTAAGTCACGAAAACCCTGTTAAATTACAACAAACATTCGACAGCCAAACCATTACACATCCTGTTATTCTGATAATTATTCCAAAGTGATTCCACAGCGTTTGTGAAACTTTTAAGATTTTTCCATTGTAGAGGAATGGTCTTCTCTTTCTCACCACATATAAACTAAAATGTGTGTCCTATTCTTAGGCAGTATGCTGGAGTCTGTACGATATATGAGTAAAGACAGGGAGTTTGGTTCTTGAACCTGAAATTTCTCATGAAATGGCTAAAGTGCTATTTGATTCTGCATATTTATGTTTTCTGTAAATAGGTAGGAATTAATGTAGGCACTTGTTACAGATGTTAACTGGCATTTGCGGTAGCCAATAGCACCTAATGGGGCGAGAGGCAGGGTACGCCCTGGACAGGTCACCAGACTACCACAGGGCTGACACATAGATACAGACAACCATTCACACTCAGATTCACACCTACGGGTAATTTAGATTCACCAATTAACCTGCATGTCTTTGGACTGTGGGAGGAAGCTGGAGTACCTGGAGAAAACCCACGGTGACACAGGGAGAACACGTGAACTCAGCACAGAGGGGCTCACCCACCCCGGGGTTTTAACGCCCCACCGTGGGTCACAGCAAGAGGGTTCCTGGTAGGATCGTATCCAGAAGGGATGAAATGTAGGAAGAGGGCGACCATGATGGAGTCGTTTTTGGTGTGAGGCCTATATGTTCAAGCTGAGATGTGAAGCCAAAACTACAGGTGAGCTGGTGAAAGAGCGACATGGGCTCATCCTCCCAAAGGAGCTGTTGCATCCCAGTTGAAGGCTTGTGTTGTTTTGTGTGTGACTTGAATTGAGTATATAAAGTGCAAGATGAGTGATCAGCGTACTTTATTGTTTTCCAGGATATGACAACTTTAACATATCATTAAGAATACCTATAAAACAACTTTTTTGTCATTGTTGGACCAGATACTGGTGTAAAGGTGAAAATCAGTGCAAGACTTGTGATTAAAAAACAAAACCAAAAAAACATTGACATCTATTTTGATTTTTTTTATGGGAATTTAAAGTAAAAAACATCCTCACCAACATATTAATGATGAAAACTCAGGAGTGTACGTATGCCAAACTTCATTCGGTCATTTTAAACTTCCCAACAGTAGAGACCGATACTAAAAGCACACAGACACACACACACACACACACACACACACACACACACACACACACACACACGAATCTGACCTTTTCATCTTTTAGCAGCAATTGAAAATTAGCACTATCAAAATAATATCAAATGATGATAGAGACCTTAAAAATAATGATAACAAATTAGGCAAAAATAGAGTACATTACTATTTAGGAAGCTGCAAAGTAAAAACGTGCCATTCAGGATGATCTCATATTTCATATTGTTTCATCTCTCTTTCTTGGTACCATTTATTTCCACAATAGTCACACACTTTCTTTTCACTTGCTTTACACAATCAAAGTTGACATTTCCAATTTAGTTTGGTCATCACTCCACAATTACACAATTTCAGTATAATAATTTTAAATGATTCGCACAAATCATGTTAAAAATATCAGAGGACGTAATTTGGTGACTTCTGTCGGGGGGCAGATCTGATTGTTGTTTCACATTTTAGATTTCAGATACGGCATCCAAATGGAGAGCTGCAGGTAGAGCGACGGGGTAACTCATACATTTACAAACAACATGCTCAAATTATACAGTTCATTTAATGAACTTAATGAATTGGCATATCAAGTTGAATGTCTGCATCAGCATGAGCCTTATTGCATTAAGGATTACTGTGCGCGTGTGTGTGTGTGTGTGTGTGTGTGTGAGTGTGTGTGTGCAATACCAGAACAGACCACATTCCTGACTGTATGTGTTTCTGTACGCGTGTTTGCATGTGTGTCTGTGTGTGTCTCAAATTGCTGCTGGCATCCACAGATCCCAGGGGCGAACACAACGTGCATATCCATGAAATGGATACGGCTTTCAGTACAGTTTGATGCCACACCTCATTGACCTTTGGCCTTTCAATCGGTTTTTCCAATTGGTCACATATCTTAACTTTATCCTCGCGTTGCTCCGCAGCCACACAGACTGCACTAATCTCATTTGGAAAATATTTCCCAGATTCATGTGGCAGATACCAACTGCAAGGAAAGGAGGCTCAGGCTGACTCTCGAGTGATTCCGTGTCGATCTATTTATATATCTTCATGTTCGGAATGAATGCCGTCATATCATCACTCCTGTATCTCATTTTTCATTTTAATTCTGTAGCAGTTTGACAGTGTTTGACACTGTCAGGGGTCCGGAGGCAGTCCAGCTACTGGAGAGAGATTAAACCATCAGAGCGTCCATCTGTTCCCTGACTTCTCAGTCCTCCCCAAATCGAATTTATAGTGATTTATGGTGATAAAGTAATTCTTTTAGGCCCTGTCTGACAGATGCAGTGAGCAATAACAAAACAGTAGGACACCCTGATAGGGAGACAGAAAAGGATTCAGTGATAAAGCGTGAGAGGCTTTCATCATATTGATCTGAGAGTAGGATACTTGGCAAGTGGTCAGAGCTGTCAGATGTGAGGGTGAGGAGAGGGAGAGGAAGGAGGCAGAGGAGTGCGAGAGGGAGAGAGGTGAGGGAGAAAAGTGGATACTTGAATGGGATTAGTATCCCTCTACACCCTGATGGCATGCAGTGGCATCTCCTCCTTCTTCAGTCATACCACATCACATCATAGCACCAAGGCTCTGGCAGCTGAAACCAAACACCCCTCCAACGCTGCCCTTAGACTCGACTTTCTCTGCTTGACTCCAAGGTGAGAAAAATTCTGTCTCCTTTTGAAAGCCGATTTGTTACGCATTATAACCAATAACAATGAGAGTTGCATTTTTCTCCTGCCGTGGTCAGATACTTGCCTCTTGGGGTCACTAATTCGCTTGCTCATTCTGGGACACTGGAGCTGAGGGACAGAGTGTGACAGCGCTGTGTAGGACAACCTGTATCATGCAGTTTTAGGGGACTTTTGTTGTTGCAGCTTTTTTTCCCTGTGTTTTTAGCTAATTTCGGTTGATTTATTGACATTTATGATTTGTGATTGCCACACTATGGCGTGAAGAAGAAGTATGTCACTTGGTTTTATTCTTATTAGAATGAGGTGATGTGCAAGGAGCAATATTTCAGATGTTTGGTCTTACTTTGATGCATTTTAATGTGGATCAGTCTTAACTTTTTCAGTCTCAAGCTGATTTCATAAGCTATTTTCTGGTTTTTGGATGTTATTTTGACACTTGCATTTTATTTACAAAGAAAAATGCATTAATAGCTTTCTACACTGTCAAAAGACACAGATTTGGTCCAAAACATGCCATGTGCTTTGGGCCTGGATCAGCTTTGTGCAGTTAAATCTGTTTTGCTTAACCATTTCCAATCGTCAGCAGCAGTTATGACAGTGGTAATGAGATAACAGATCAAGCTCAAATGCTTGTTGCTGGCTCAGAGAACAGGGTCTTTAAGGTATCATAGCCCCGTTTAGCACATTAACAAACAAGGTGGCGTCGAGACTCTTAACTGCTTTTAAGACTGCATGTGTGTAACTGCATGTGCGCTCACTCAGTACGCTCTAAGTATTTTCCAGAGGTGTGAACGGTGATGAGTTGCCAACGTCGGGAGATCAAAAGCTTAAATGAAATGTTTGTCACTATAACAGCTGCAACTCTGTGGATTTCCACTTGATACCGTTAAGCGCAGTCAAGACTGCAGGCACCTCTGTTCTTATGTCTCTGGTGAGTGAACGAGCATTTGCACAAGATTTTGTTTCCTTTAATTCAAAACACTTCCAGGAGAACACGAGACATTTCTGCATGTTTAACCTGGTTCGTCACTTCTGTTTTATAAGATTCACGTTGGTTGTTTTGCCAACAGTCTGTTGTTCTTTTGCAAGAACACACACACAATGTTCCTCTGTGTTTTCCCGTGTACACGTTCCAAACAGAACTGTTTTATTAAGACCAAGGGGTATTTGATTTAAGTCCCCAGGTGCCTCGCCAAATTCACAACATTACATAAGAGAAAATCTGGACAAAGTTTACTTCCAGAAAAAGCAATGAAAAACCCACACTGCATAATAACAGAAATGTTTTTTTAAATTAGACACAGAAGGCAGATTTGTTGTGACCTTACATGCTACTAACCCCACAGCGAGCAAAGTGCAGTATCATCACCAGACTAAGATATATATTTAGACGAGTGTTTGACGTGTCACATTTCTATTTACGATTGCTAACGACATTTGGTGCTGGCACCGCAGCTAGGATCGGCAGTGCAGCAGTGCACAGGCAGTGAGTAGTGACATTCTCAGTATTTATCAGTTTAAAGGATAAATGGTAGGGCCACGCTTCGCTATTGAGTGGAAATTCCTTTTCAGACTCGGGGCCATTCAGATGTCCCGGTAATGAATGCCAGTCATCAGAAGGGAAACAGTCCAGTTTGCGAGGCCTATTGTGTACAGCTGGAAATGAAAAATGACATCCGTGCCTCTACATCCCATACACCGCTTCATCATTCACAAAACCAATGCCATGGCCTGGTGATCACAGCAGGTCTCTCTTGTACTTTAAACTGATTTGTATGACGGATGATTCAGTGCTTTCATGAACGCGAAGCTGCGTGGGCTTTCTTGAGTGTGATAAGCTCCCGTCCTCTAGCATTCGTCTTAATGAGCTCATTCTACATTCAGTGCTAGCTAATTACTTTCCTTAATCGTCACCAGACACATGGTAGTCTATTATGATTATTATTTATGGTAGACTGTGAAATGGACTGTATTTTTTTACATCCATGTAGTTTCTTTCTTTCTTTCTGTCTTTTTTCTTCCTTCCTTCCCCTGCCTCCTTCGTCCCTTCTTCCTTCCTGTGGTTTTGATAACCTTACCCATATGGCTCGGCCTTTGATGTCTTTCCCAAATCCACGTGCATGTTGGTTGTCATGTTGCTTCATGGCAGGCACATTCCTGTCTTCCAGCATGAGGGCCTCCTGACACACAAACACACACACATGGTCAATGCCTCAGTCAAATCAAAATGGAAATATTCTTCCCCGTATGTCCCATGTAAATGCTGATGCATGATCATTTCCATTGAAGATGCGTGATGTGCAAAAACATCAAATCCCACTTAAGTTACGACCATTTAAATCCAGGCACATCCATGTCTCACGATCAGCAGATGCCCACGTCAACCCTTACCCCAGCACTAACTCCGTCTCACAACTATATTCAAAGAAATACACGACTGCATTAGAGGTTCTTGCGCAGTGGGAGGTACCGAGGCACCATTTTTGGCAAGCATGAAGGGCAACGCTATCATCAGGGCAGAGGATGTTCGGTAGCCTTGTGCAAGTGACAGATGACCACTCTCGCTGCCATTTTATGGCTCCATCAGCCATGCTTAAAGTTGAAATATGTGAAAGAATAAGCAGAGAATATATTTCACGCCGGACGTGGAGGTCACATCCAACCTGCTCTGAATTTTATGGTGGTTCAGGTTCCTACTTACCAGATATATGTGTGTGTTACCTGGAGAGAAGGGGGAGAGAGGGAGAGATGAAATAAAAGTCACAATCAACTTGATAAATGGTATAACATTCTCAGTGGAAAGTGTCATTTCGGGAGATGCATGAGTCTCAGCACTTCCAGCTGTTCAGGTCTGCTCGCTGGATTCAAGGCTCGACTATTCCTGTCGATGGCGTCTGCTATCTATCTTGGGAGCGCTAGACGGTGTGGACTTGAACTTCATTCGACTGTTGCCTCATTAATAGCATATCTCTTACAACTGTTTGTTCCGTAATCACTCTGAATCTTGAATAACAAAATCTAAATGTTTGCCACCATTAGTGTAAAGGAAAAATGCCCATGATATTAATGTGCAATATAAAAGACAAACTATTTAATGGCGGAAGGATAATTTTTAACAACTGGTAATTTGGCTTGATCATATTTTACATACACAAATGGCCCTCCGTACCCTTTTCCACTGGCTTCGTTTATGCAGAGTGTATGCTAATGGTCATTTGTTCCTGTGTGTGTGTGTGTGTGTGTGTGTGTGTGTATGTGTATGAAAGAGTGCAAGAGAGAGATAAAGAGAGGGAGATTGATCACAGAGAGGTATTGCGCCCCTGCGAGTGCTGTAAGGGCAGCACTATTATGCAGATGAGCGCATTAAATGTAGTTGGACACCACCCAGCATGTCATTAAATCTAAAATGGCAGTGGGACCTTAATGTTAGGCTGCTATTGTAATGTGCTCCGTCTTTCCCCCTGCTGTACGTTGAACAACCCTGAACCGCCATTAACCACCTGGCAGAGCCTCTCGGTCGCTCTCAGTTATTTTTTTTTTACATCTGTCATTCTCTTTTTCCTCAAATCCTGGTTTTGTCTTTGTCTGTGTGCGCTCTCACTCTGTCCTGTATTCAAACCCAAAATAAAAATACAGCCCACAGCCAATTACCTCAGGCTCATCCTATTATGCCACTGGACTGCTAGTGTAGACGGTGTAAATATAGCAGTCCATACCTGTTTGTAATGATGAGCTCAGAGGGCCACAGTGAAATCCATTACCCCAATTACCCAATTATCTAAAATGACGGGTGATTATCAGACATCATCACCAATACTGCTGTAGCATCACCTCTAGAGTAGCTGTTTTGCTGGCCTGAATATAGCTATTCACGTCTCCATTTTCTTAGTGTCAACACAGACACACACACGCGAACACACTCACACATGCAGTTAGTCCTTGGCCCGCTGTCATACGCCTGTTTTGATGGGTCATTCAGCGCGGTGTTTCCTTTTCTGAGCCATTCAGGGATCCCGGGTGAAGCGCTCATATTCGATGGCAAAGGAAACAGAGCTGTTACTGCGGGGTCGCGACCTTTCACCCGACATGTGAGAAGACTGTGTGTGTATGTGCGACACGTGAGTAGCACAGGTCACACTGTTCAACATCCAACGATGGGCTGTTTTTGTAGCTTGTCTGCCTCTCCCTTTTTTGTCCATCCATCCTCCGACCCAGGCCCCACCAAAACCCGATAAATAGGGCTCTGTTAGGCTGAAATAAAAATTCTTTTGAGATGACAGCAGTAGCCAAACGGTGATACAGATTGCACCTCTGTCCTTTAATCAGCGATAATAGCCCTAGGTCTCCATGAATCTAAAGTCAAGAATGTGTCTTAGGTGCTCTGGCAGTCCCACTTCCTTATGATTATCCATCTCCTCCTCCTGTCCCCTCCTCTTGACGCCTCCCTCTCCTCTTCATCTTTTCCACCCACCTCCCTACAATTCATGGCATCACACCCAGTGATGATGGACATCTCAAGCACAGACCACTGTTTACTCAGTCTAAAAATAAGAGGTTAGGCTCCAAAGGCCATAACCCGTACATGCCTGATGTGTAAGGCACAGCAGCAGCTTGCATTTGTGTGCGTGTTTCTCTCCAAGAGGTTGGTGGGGTCGTCGGTTAGGTCATGTGTATATATCTATGCCAGGTAAAAGAGATGTCCAATGAAGGATGGAGGCTCCTGTGTCTACCAGTCATCTCCCATGCGGCATAGTGTCAT